TTGCATTCTCCAGGTATACCACCAGCTGCGCCTCCCTCGCCATTTTTGCCACGGCAAAGGCCAGTTGATTGTGTGTGCGCGTTCTGTCCGGGCCTGTGCTGCAGCGGAGTAGGTGGTTGGGTAGGCTACAGTCGGCCACGAGCTCTCCACACTCGCACACAGTAGGTACGTTCTGTCGGATGCCCATGCGGAAGGCCAGGGCTGTTCGGAATTGCCCTGGTGAGAAGCAGAGGTCTGGGGTCAGGGGTAGGGCTTGCAGCCATGCTCCCGCTCCCTCGCCTCTCAGGCTGACGAGGCGGAGCGTGTGGCCCATCTCGGGGGCTGACCTGATTGAGCGTGATTCCTCTGTCAGGGTGTCGGCCTTTGCCGCGTGCACTTCCTGAGAGAGGGCCCGCTGCAGCTGGTCTTGGGACGGGGTTTCTTGCTCCTCACGGAGGTATTGCAGCGCCAGCGGCGGCAGTCGTCCCTCCATGTCTTGGATGGTGACCGAGTGTGCCGCAGACGGCTGCAGGGCGTTGCTGTTGCTCCCTAGCGCCGCGGTTGCTGGCAGGTCGAGTGAGCGGAGCAGGCGTAGTGCCTCTGTCGTTGAGGCCAGGTAGGCTGGTGCTGCTTCTGTTGTGGGATCTGTGAGGCCCAGTCCACCTAGGGCCACTGGGAGGGTTGCTTGGCGGATGAGAAAATTGAACTCGGCTTCGCGGCGGGGTGGTTGGATGCTGGCGGCAGTCAGGGCGGTGTTGAGCAGTTCGGCGCACCACGCATGCCATTCCGAGAGGGGAAGGACATCCGCTGGGGTGGTGCGCAGCAAGTAGCCGATTCTGCGGCTGATGCAGCGGGACAGGAGCAGGAGGGCATGCTGTGGATGGATGGATGCTAGGGAGCCCAGGGGTGCCGCTGCGTCTGTCAGAGTACTGCGGACCAGGTCAGAGCAGAAGCGCTGTGACCCCACGGGACTTCCCAACACCCGTACCCCCTCGTGGGTGAGTGGGAGGCCCTCGGGGAGCTCGTCACCCTCAAGCGGCGTCGTGGACCACGCCGACGATTTTCTGAGGTTGCAGGTGAGGCCATCCTGGGCGAGCAGCGGCGTCAGCAACTTAAGCGCGCCGAGCGTTGCTGTCGCCGGTCCGATCATGGTGATGTCATCTGCGTATGCTAGGATCGTGACTTCTGGGTGCTCTGCTGCTGTGCGTCTGAGGTGCTGCTGGATTGATGCCGCGAACAGCAGGGGTCCGAGGGGGTCCCCCTGCCTCACCCCCCTTCCGCTGGTAAGTGCCGTCGTGCTCAAGCGGGGATCGGTCAGCAGCTGAGAAGGCGTTGCGTAGAAGGAGCGGGTGAAAGGTATGAGCGGTGCTAGCGGGGTGTTGGTGAGTGCGTTGAAGAACGCTTTCCTCTCTACGGAGTTGAAAGCGTTTTCAATGTCGAGTTGGAGGACTAGGCTGGAAGGTTGTGAAGTGGTGAGGTCTCTGACTGCATGTATAACGAACTCAGCTCCGCCTGGGACTGCCACACCGAATTGTTGGGGTAAGAAAAATTGCCTTGTTTCTCCTTGCAGTTCCGAGAGTGCCACCTTTGCTGCCAACCGGAGTAGGGATTCCCCTATTGCGATAGGGCGTACCCCCCCCCCTGGTTTCGCGAAGGCGATGAGGCGGGATGGCGAGAGTAGTGCTGCAACCTCGGTGGAAAGATTCGTGGAGAGAAGATGTGTTACGGCGGAGTGTAGGTGCCCCAGCACTTCGATATTGCTTAGGGCTGGGTCGCGGTAGTGTTCAAATGTTGACCCGGATGGACCAGCCCCAACTCCGCTGGGGCAATCCCTAAGGACGTCTGAGAAACTTTCCGCGGTGCACGAAAATTGCGTGGGTGTTGTGTAGGTGTGGACCCAGTCGGGCAGCTCAACTTGGGGTTGGGGATGTTTCAATTCCAACTGCTGCAATGTTGCGATCGTCGCAGGGGCCGCTGGCGAGGGTGAGAGGGCTGCCAACGCTTTTCGCAGGTTACCCCGTTTCACCAACCCCTCCACACGTGAGCAGATTCCCAGGGGGTCGTTTTGGTGCTGAGGTGGCTCAGCTTGGTGCAGGGACCCCACGTAGTCACTGTAGAGCTGGTTCCAGTGGCCACATCTGAATAGGTGCATCTGCTCTCGCAGCACCTTCCACTTAGAGCTGGACCTCCTGCTAAGTCGTAAGGTGAGACGTGGCAGGAACATGAGGACCCGCCACGCTCCCGCGCAGTTGGGCAGTTTGGAGATCCGTAAGAGGGCGGCCAGCATACAGGTGGAGTAGTCGCTTAGTATCTGCGGCGGCAGGCGGCGGACGATAGGCAGGTGGGTGGTTGACGTTAGGGTTGAAGAGTCCCAGCTCATCGCGATCTCAAAGAGATCCTCCCTCGATGCCAGCTGGGACGCTGACAGGGCTTGGTCCGGAGGGGGTTGGGGTCTGCGGTTCTGTCGGCGTCTAGAACCTCTCTCCTGCTGCTGCGCCTGGTCCTCCCCCGCTTCCGCGAGAGGTGAGTCGGGGTTGTCGGGTTGCCTCAGATCTGACGGTACATATTCGTCGCCGCTCCCTTCTGCGTTTGTATCACCGATTCTCACTGCTTGCGCTGTCGTTCCCCCTCTCCCCCCGCGTCTAGCAAACGACTGGCGCGTGACTCGTTCTGCCGGCTCCCCCAACCAGATTGGGCTTGGTAGTTGGCGCGGATTCCCCCTCGCCGCTTGGCCTGCACTCCGCTGCCCTCCGCGCGCTCCTCGACCCCCGCCTCTCCCCCGCGTGCTTCCCCGTCCGCTCCTCGGAGTGGCTGCCACAGGTGCCGCCTGTTGCGCCTGGGAGATCGGCGTCGTCGGCTCCTCTTGTGGCAGTGGAGCGCCCTGAGCGCTCGCCGATGGATTTCCTCGGCGCTCTGGGCCGCGACTGCACCGCGGAGAGCGATCCCGCTCCTCGTCCGCTTCCTCCTGCACGCCCTGCCGCGAGCGTACCTGTTGCTCCACCGGCGTCCGCTGATCAGATCCGCCGCCGCTTCGAGGACCAGCAGCGCGAGCTGGCTCGGCGCGCGGGCAGGTCCTTGTCACCGCCGGAGCCCCTGCGCGCGGGGTCCGTCTTGCGCTCCGGCGCAGAGGCTGTGGCGCACCAGGAGCGCTCGCCTCGCCGTCGCTCATCGGCAGCTCGGCTGGCTCGGCGTCCTCGTTCGCCTCGTCGCGTGGCGTCGCGAAGCCGATCCCGTGACCGCCGTTCGCATCGTCATCGTTCGCCCCCTCATCGTTCATCTCGCCAGCGGTCGCCTGCCCGCCAGACGTCTGGGCGTCGGCCCCCAGCTCCGCATTCGCCCCCTCCTGCAAAGCGCCAACGGCTCTACTCCCCTCGTCGCGGGGACCGTTTTCCTGGCCGCCAGCGTCAGCAGGGCCCATCTCGCCCGCAGTCGCCTGTGCGCTCGAGCGCAAGTGGGCGTGCGCGTCGTGGGCGACGGGGAGGTGACAGTCGCGGCGGAAAAGCGGGTCCAGCGCCGTCCGCAATGGAGCGCCGTCTTCTGGATAGGCTTGATGACGTGGAGAAGGAGCTTCGTCGCTCGCGTGCGGGGTCGGCGTCACCATCAGCTCCTCGCGCTGCTCCCGTCGTCCCTCTCTCCGCGCTCCTGCCCCACAATCCCTTTGGATCCCCGGCGCGTTCAGAGCGGCCGCTGCCTGCGGGGATGGGCTTCGTAGGTGCTGGTGGCGGGCCGCCGTGGGCTCAGTTTGCTCCGCCGCGTCCTCTTCCTGCTCCGCGTGATCTCGCCGTGTCGTCTCACCGTGCCCGCGCGTCTGCGTTGCTTCCGCCGATGAAGGAAGTTCCCACGGCGACCCTGGCCCGCCTATGGTCGCTGGCGGCGTCCCTGCAGAGCCTTGAGCGGATTCTCCAGGAGTCATTTGACTCCATGCCGGTGAGCCCTCCGAGCAGGTTCTCTCAGAAACCGCGAGCAGATTGTCATGCGGCGGCGTCAGCGCTATTCGCGCTCGTAACGCCACTGCAGGTAGCGCCCTCGCCGGGAGCAACCTCGGCCAGCCAGCTGGCTGACTCGGCCCTGGCTCTGAGGACGCTTGTAGCAGGCCCTGGTACTCCTGTTGACGTTGTAGGCGCCACCGTGTCTGTGGTCCGCCAGTTGTGGTTGAACACGAGCGGAATGCTCGCTGCGGTAGAGGCGGACCGCATGTAGGCGCTCCCCCCTTGCGCGTGTAGACCCGTTCCATCCTCTACTTGCTAAGTGTCTATGCTTGCTTTGTTTGTATCGGTTGCCTAAGCTACTACTGCTTGTTGTTTCCCCTTGCCATCCCTAACGCGCGGCCGAAGGCCGCGCACGCGAGCGCCGGCGGCCGGAGGCCGCCGGCGCGAAGCGCCAAAATTTTCAGCACTAACTGAAAGAATGAGAGATGGAGAGGCCGCCGTGGCCTTAAGTAGTCATGGCAGAGGGCAGAAAGCAGAGGGCAGAGGGTAGAAGGGGAGAGGCTAATCCTCTCTCTCTCTCGCTCTCTCGAACGAACAAAAGCCAAAATTTTCAGCACTAACTGAAAGAATGAGAGATGGAGAGGCCGCCGTGGCCTTAAGTAGTCATGGCAGAGGGCAGAAAGCAGAGGGCAGAGGGTAGAAGGGGAGAGGCTAATCCTCTCTCTCTCTCTCTCTCTCTCTCTCTCTCTCTCTCTCTCTCTCTCTCTCTCTCTCTCTCTCTCTCTCTCTCTCTCTCTCCTGACCTCTCCTTCTCGCCCTTTCTTGACCACTCTCCAGCAGCCATTCTGATCCTTCATAGCGGTTCTCTATCTTCTCTGTGGGATCTTGCAGCTCTTGTGCATCTTACTGTCTGCATGCCGTCCTCTGCTGCCACTATATGTTCCTGTAGTGCTTTGATCTTCAAGAGCTCTCAAGAACGCCCCCTTTCTCTGTGCCTGTACCCCCTTTCTGTGCGGTTGCTTCTCCCTGTGCCCGTGCCTCTCCCTTTACCCATGCCTAACCGTGTGACCGTGGCCTTGCTGTGTGTGGCAGGTGGAGTATGCGGGGACCCGCCAGGATGCATGCAAGGCAGTGCAGCGAGCAATAGAGGAATTGCGGTGAGCCACCCTGCCCACACCACCTCAAGGCCCTTGAGTCAAGGGACACAGGGGAGAGGGGCTTTCACGATACACACACAGACTTTTTCATCCACTCGCTTCACTGGCCTGGGTCTAGACATTCCAGCCAAACGTCTGTTTGGTATAGACGTTTCAGTTCCGCACACCTCAATGCACTCCGTTTCTTCCCAGTCTATGGCTACTATAGCATCTACCACTTGTCAAATCCATCCTGCGCACTCCCCCTGCCCCTCCCCCTTCCTCCGCCCGTTGTTGCCCCCCTGCCATCAGTGGGTCCCACCGTGGCCCACTAATAGCTCTGGTAGAGGATGCCACTCGCACTGGGGGAACACCACCTGGTGGCGAGGGGACATTGACAGCAGCAACAGGGGCAGCGACAGGAACAGGGGGAGCGGGAGGGGCAGGGGCGAGTGGAGGGTTGGGGGGAGTGGCAGTGTTAGAGAGCATGCCATGCGTGGAAGTACCGGGCAATGCGGCCGACAGCCGCTTCCCGGTGAGTGAGCAGGAGCGAGATGAGGCTAGCTAGCCGCTTCCTCAATGCCTGGGTGGCTGTGTGAACTATGTGCGGGGAGGTGGGCGGGGAAGGGGATCGTTGCGCATGGAAGTACCAGGCAATGCACGCGTCGCTGCCTGGTTATTGAGAATTTTCACATGCCACCTGCTGTGGTGCAGTACAGCTGTGCTGCAACGCCTGTGGCGCGAGTGAGAGAGCTGATTGGTGCTCCCCTCTCTGCACCACGTGCCTGCTGTCAGCTGATCTGATATTACATGCATCCACATCTCCCCCGCACTTGCTTACCCCCTGCTGAACTTTCGGTGCTACTATCAGTCTGACTGCGGGTCCTGCCGCCCTTTTTCCCCCTGCCTTCTTCTCCCGCCTGCCTTCCCCCTCCCCCCTTGCGTTGCACCCCCACCTCGAACCCCCTCTGCCCGGGTGTGCAGGCGCTGGGGTGGCAGGCAGCAGCGGGGCGAGTGGCGGTGCACCGATGTGCACAGGCGCCTGTGTGGCTGCACCAGCGCGTTGCCCTCGCCCGATATGCACACGTGAGCGGGGAGAGAAGCGGGAGAGGGGGGAACAGGGAGGGGGATAGGGCGGGAGGGTCAGTGCAAGTGGCTTTTGTCATGGTGACCTGTTCTCATCTGGTTTCATCTGTTTGCACCTTTTCTCACCTTTTTATCAACTGTTCCCACCTGTTCCCAGCTGTTCCCACCTGTTCCCAGCTGTTCCCACCTGCTCCCACCTTTTCACACCGCTCTGCACCTGTTGTGGCCCATCAGATCCCCATAGGCAACATGAGCAAGGACTGGATCCTGCACACAGCAGATGTCTTCTTCGCCAGGGCATTGCGAGACAACAACCATGTCAGTCAGCACCACTCGCCTCACCACATGTTTGATTCACTTAGCTTGATTCTACCGCGCTGTTTTGTTTCTGCCTTTTCTCTGCCAAATTTGTTCGACCCTCCTCTCTCTCTTCTTGTGCCCCACTCCGGTTCCCGTCCCTTCACATTCCCACTCGCCCTGCTCGGCCGTGTTCTCTTCTCTTCTCTCACCCCCTCACGATTCTATCACACCCCCCCCCCCCGTCCCCCTTTCCCCTTGTGAATCTCCTCGTGCATTCACTTTCCTCCCATTTTGCTTGCCATATCCGCACCCCAACCCACTGCGCCGCACTCTCCTGCACCGTCACCTGCCTGCCCATTCTCTCCTGCCCCCTTATGGGCCTACAGCTGCTGTGGCTGTCCCACACGGGCATGCCGGACGTGGGAGGGGTGGCTGAGGAGGAGGCCATGAGCTTCCTGGATGAGGTCCGCAGGGGGACTTTTGTGGGTGGAGGAAGGGAGAGGGGAGGGGTGGAGGAAGGGAGGGGAGGGGGAGGAAGGGGAGGAGGGGGAAAAGGGGGGCGTTGGTGGGGCTGGGTGGGATGGGAAGCGAGCTGTAAAGGGGAGACATCTGTGCGTGCGCGCTTGGTTGTGCTCTGCCCTGCTTTGCACCTGCAGTAGTGTGCAAGTTTCTTTATATCTGAGTTTGTGTATGTGTGTGCATGTACGCCTGTGACCTGTCTGTGGATGTGGTCATGTGGGGATGCACATGTGCGACATGTGTGTCTCTGTGCATGAGTGCGCCTGCCTGTCTGTGTGTGTGTCATTGCACGTGTACAGGTGCAGCAACCGCAGGTGGTGGTTCCGGGTCACTACACAACAATAACTGTGGAGCTCAAGGTATGCTGCTCTGCACCACCCTCACCACAGCACCTTCCCTTCAACTAGCTCCCATTCCCGTTTCTCATTTCTCCCTTCCTCCTCCTCTCTACCTCTCCTCCTCCAATCCCCCTAGTTTCCCTCATTCCTCCCTCCCACCTGTGCCCCTGCCCTCCACTCTCCATCACCCCCATCATACAGATACAGCACCTGGCAGTGTGTGCGCTCATCAAGAGCACCATAATCAACGACATCGAAGGGGGTGCGCTCCTGGGCGCCTCACACCCCCACTCCCACCCACACCCCTCCTCTCAACCGAACGCCTCCTCGCACCCCAGATTCCTCTTCCAGACCCAATCCACCAGCACCCCAGCCAACGGCAGCAACCACAGCGATCACCGCACAACAGAGTCAGCATCAGCAGCGGCAGCGGCAGCGGCAGAGGCAGTGAGGGAGGCGGAAGCAGAGCTGCAGGGCGTGCTGGGTGGGGTGCAGGGGGACGAAGGGGGGAGAGGGGGCTCAGAGGGTTCAGGGGCCTCAGGGGGGCATGTGATGGAGGACGAGGCGGCCATGTGTCGGTCGGCCTTCAAGGTGCTGCGCGGCATGGTGACGGCGTGGGTGACCGATGTGGTGCGCACGCAAAGCCTCTATGCTGACGCCCTGCTGCAGCACCTCTACCGCTGGATCTGCAGGTGCATGGCATGTGCGGGGTGGGGGGGGGTGATTGGGGGGGGGGTGATTGGGGGGGGGGTGATTGGGGGGGGGCGGGAGGGAGGCGGAAGAGGGAATGCATGTGAGGGGGGAAAGGGAAGAGGGGAGAGTGGGGGATGTAGAGGCGAGGGCATGTGGGCATGCACTGGTATGGGCATGGGGAGTTGGCCCATTGCCAGCCAGGCCATATTGCTGTGATTTTGCCTTGCCATGTCCTTCTCCAATTCTCTTGTTGTGTATCCCTCCTCCTTTTTGTCTACGTCCTCGCATATCCCTTCTCCTCTCCCCCTCTCTGTTACTCCCCAGCCCTTCATCCACTCTGCACGACCCTTTCCTGCACCGCCTGCTGCACAAGGTACGCCTCTGAGCCTCTCTCACAATGCTCTGTCGTTCTTCCCCAAACCACACCACACTGCTCTCGCTCCACCCCACATTGCGCCTGCCTGCCTGCCTGCCTGCCTGCCTTTTTGACAACCTCTGCTTGGTTCTCTGCCTCTCTGAACGCAACTTTTTCTCGCCTGTCGCTTGAATCGCCTCAATTGTGAGAGGCCTTTTCGGTTGCCTCCGAAGCAAGATGCCTCTTGAGGCGCCTCCCATCCCATCCCTGCCCCACCCAATCCCCCCCTGTGCCAGATCATGTGCAAGCTGTTTGCGCTGCTGCTGGCAGAGCTGCGGCGCCTGGGCGCCACAGTGATATACGCGGACTTCTCACGCGTCATTCTTGCCACGGGGCGGCGCTCCCTGCCCTCTGCCATGGCCTATATGGACTACCTTGTTGCCGCTGTCAACAGCAGGTGGGGGGTGGACGGATGGATGGGGAAGGGGTGAAGGGGTGGGAGGATGGAGGGTTTGAGGAGTGAAGTGATGGAGAAATCAAAGGGTGAGGGTGATGGGGAAGGGTTTGTTCAGATGGGCATACATGTAAGGTCATGCACATGCAAACCTGTGCCCATCCAGTGCTCCCCGCGTCCCACTTGTCTTTGTCCTTCCCCGCGGGGACAGATCCAACGCAGAACCCTCAGAGACGCGACTGAGATATTCCACTCCAATCTCTCCCCCTCCTATCCCTCCTCTCCCTCCCCATCTGCAACTCGTGCCACCCCGCCCTCAGAGACGCGTTTGAGCTGTTGCATGTGGAGAAGCAGCGGGTGTGGCACTCCCTGCTGTTCCTGGACAAGGCAAGTGCTGCATGTGGGCGTGGCAAGTGATGCTATGCGCGTCTGGCTGTCACTGCTGCATACATGCCCTATAGCATAGCGCAGCAGTGGTGGTGTTGCTGCCCTGTCACTGCCCTTTTGCTGTGGTGTTGCCAACTCCCTTTCTCCCCTCACCCACCAACCCCACCCCACCTTCCCCCTTTCTGCCCATCTGCGTCTCCTCTTGTTGTTCCTTCCCTTGCCAACCTTGAACCTCCACGACCAGTCACCCCAAGCCATGGCAACGATGCCAGCCTGACGCTCTACCCATTCTTTCTGCCATTGGCACCCCCCTTATGCCCCCCTCGCTTCCGCGTGCCCCGTTCCACAGTTCAACTTTGGCGGCATTGTCGATAGCTCTCAATTGGAGCAGCAGCAGCCGGAGGGAGAGGGAGAGAATGGGGAAGCTGCACGGCACACGAATGGCAATGGTGCTGCCACTGCTGATGCTAATGGTGGTGGTGGCGATGGTGGTGGTGATGGTGTTGGGAGTGGTGATGGTGCTGGGGCAGGGAAGCAGGCGGATGGGCGAGGAGGAGAGGAGAGCAAGATGACCGTGCTGAGCCAATGGAACATTGCAGACTACCTCCCTTCATCTGTGCAGGTCAGTCACGGTGTTGCTCCTGTGCAGGCCACTACCAGTGCCCTGTGCCACTCAGTAAACATGCTTCTGCAGTGCCCTCCTCCCCACTGTCCCTCTCCGCTCCTCTCCTTTCGTCAGTCTATCAGTTACCTCTTATCTCCCCATGTTATCCGCACCTCTGCTTTTGCCTCTCACCCTCTCATTTCCCACTGATTCGCTTCCTCTCCTCCTTCCCTCCAATCCCCCCCACACCCTCCTCCGCCGTCTCTCCAGGAGCACTTCCGTCTGACAGTGACTTCATCTTCAACCCCTGGGTGGCGCCTCAAAAGTAGACTCCCCCTCCACCCCTCCCCCCCCCCCCCCCCTCTTTCTCTCCCTCGCCAGGAGTACTTCCATCTGACGGTCTCTGACTTCATCTTCAACCCCTGGGTGGCCGCTCGTGAACGCCGCACAGAGAGAACCCTGCAGCGCAGAGCTGCTGCTGCCCTGGCTGCTCGAGCGAGGGAGAGGGAGAGGGAGAAGGAGAAAGGGAAGGCAGGGAAAGGAGGGAAAGAGGGAGGAGGCGGGGATGTGGGAGACGTGGCGGAGGAGGGGAGGGTGGACGAGGAGGATGAAGAGGCAGAGCTGGCACGCAATGAGGTAGCTGACCGTGCTCTTTCCCCTTTCTCCTTCTCCTCCACCTCCTCCTCTCCACTCCTCCCTTTTCAAAGAAGGCAATCTTGAATTTTCCTCCTTGGTCCTCCCATTCTGCTCTCTCTTCTCCACTCCATCACGCTTGCTCACCTTGCCCTCCCCCTCCTTTCTGCACTTCCCACACTGTGTGCGCCACTGCAGGTGCAGAACCGCCTCACAGACAACCTCTTGCACCTTGTGCGGGCCTTGCAGGCAGAGGCGGAGAGAGGGGGGGAGGACGCGGAGGAGGAGGGGGAAGGGGGGGAGGAGCGCAGGATGGGGAAGTCAGGGAAAGGGGGGCAGAGGGGGAAGGCGCGGGGGGTGCTAGGGGCGACAGGGGGACGAGCTTTGGAGCTGGTGAAAGCAGTGTGCCATGTGCTGTCGCTCAGTGCACACGTGCAGCATGAAGTGCAGGTGGGTGGGTGGATCATGGATGGGTGAGCTGACAGGTGGGCGGACGGGTGGGTGGGTGGATGGGCGAGGCAGGTGGATGCTTGGGTGGGCGGATTGGTGGGTGGGTGGGTGGGTGCATAGGTGGGTGGGTGAATGGATCGTGGGTGAATGAGGGTTGGTTTATGTGTGTGTGCATTTCTTGGATGAGGAACCTGACCCTCTTGACTAACATCTCCCCCCTCACCCTCCCACCCTTCCGCCCTCCTTCCTTCCCTCCCTCCTTCCCGCTGCCCTTCTTGACTCCCTCCTTCCCTCCCTCCCTCTCTCCCTCCCGCCCTCTTTTTTTCCCTCCCGCCCTCCCTTGCGCCTTCCCTCTATTACTGTCTTGTTGCCTTCCTCTCCTTCCTGTGTTCTCGTCTCATCATCTCCTGCTCATTATTCAATACCATTCTATCAGGTGTTGCGGCGGCAGCTGCTGCGGGTGCTGAGAGTGCGTGAGTTTGCACCAGAAGCCATTTTCCGGGACCCATGTCGCTCATTCGTTCTACCAGGAGTCATATGCAGGTACCTCGTCTCTCCCGCCTTCTCCACTTCCCCAGATTCCATCAACCACTCCCCCTCTCACCCTCACCCATTTTTCCCTCTCCCTTTCTCCTCTTTTGCACCAACCATTTCCCTGGGATTTCAATCTCCTCGATTCTTTCTCTCTCCAGCACCACTTGTCTACTTTCCCAGTCCTCTAGGGACAATGCCCACCTTGTCTGCACAACTTCCCATCATCCTCCGAGCCGCTACCACTGCCCGACATTATCCATCTCCACTCCTCCACCCACCTGCATTACCCCTGTGAGTGCACAGCTACTGCAACGACTGCAGGGACCTGGACTTGTGTCGGGACCAGCTGCTGCAGGCGGGCGAGTGGCGCTGTGCCGTTCCGCACTGCCAGCACCCCTACGACCTGCTCTGGATTGAAAACGCTCTGCTCGAGGTGAGTGAAGCCAAGCCATGCCACACCCTGCTCTGTTGGTTTTCCTTTGCATCAAAGCCACGTACCGAATCCATGCGACCATCTCTCCATGCAATGGAATATAATTTTAAAAATTTCATGGTGGTCTTTTGTTCCGTGCACCCCATGTGGCGCCGGTTGTTGGTTGTTGGCCTGTGTAAGCAGGTGATGCGGCATCGTGTGAGGAGCTATCAGCTGCAGGACCTCGTGTGCAACAAGTGCCGACAGGTGCCTTTTCACCCCTGCACTGCACCGCCATGTTCTATCTGCCCTCTTTTGTTCCCTCCCGTTAGCAGTTGTTTCCCCATATGTCCACCTACATTTGTGCCGCATCGTTCTGCCTCTCATTCCCAACTTCTTATTCCGTTCACCTTCCAATTCTCCGCGCCCTTATTCTCTTCTGTATCCCCTCTTCTTCTCTCCCCCCATTTCCCCACTCACGCTCCTCATTCTCTCCAATTTCATCCCAATGGCTCACCACCCTGTGTCCCAACCCCCTCCCACCCACCTCAGGTGAAGTCTGCCCGGGCAGCGCTGCACTGCACGTGTGCAGGCACGTTCCAGTGCTCGCAGCAGGCAGAGCAGCTGAGGGAGGGGCTGCTCGTGCTGCACTCAGTGGCCTCCACACACGGTTTCCCCTTGCTGCTCGAGTGCCTGCAGTGGCTGCTGCCTCTCTGCCGTGCCACAGGGGAGAAATGAGTGCCAGTAGAGTAGGACGTGGGAGGAGTGAGAGCAGTTGGATGGAGGAAGTGACGGAGGGGGATGAGATGGACAGTCACGAGTGTGGCTGGGTGGGGAAGTTTGTCTCATGGAATGGAAGGGAAGGATGATGGAAGGGAAGGATGATGGAAGGCGAAGGATGATCTGTGTCGGGAGGCCAATATGTTCATCCCACATTTTGAGGGCGAGCCATTCTTCTGCCATGCAAGGGTGTCCATTTTAGCGCCCCCTGCAAAGAGTGTGACTTCCATTTGTACAGGAAAAATCTGTTTGTATAGGCATCAGAATCTACAATACAGATTGTCTTTGTGTGCTGGACTATCAGGTCCCCGGAATGCTTGTAACGCGTTGTTCCCAAAAAGAATGCGCCGTTTCTGCTGCAACCGCTTCGAAGCTCGCTCTTCAATTTGTGCAACTCTAGTTTTCCCCTAATCGATCTTGCTATGGGGTCCACCAATAACTCTCTCCCGTCAGCACCGTATAGCAGCGCCCAGGGTAGTTCTGCGGTTGATGCGGCGGCGGAGGCGGAGTTTCGTGCGGCCATGCGGTTTATCCGAAAGGGGCCATCCGCCTCCCTGCAGTTCGTCGTAGATGAGAAGCGCGCTGAGCTGTATGCCTTAGAGGTCTGTTATCGGTTTTCGCCTTGTACTTTTCTCGCTTGTCGCCTTGCCTTCACTCCTTACCATTTTTTTCGTCGCCAGTGAAATTCGGGAACTGTCAGATCAATACGGCTCTGATTTCCCTCTTTTTTCAACTCTACCAGGTATCAGTGTTCCCATGCATCAAAATCATCCATATTTCCCATCCCTAACCTTCCATGCGCCGGAATTTTCTGGTCACTCTCCGCGCACCCATCACCACAGGCACAGGCAGTGCACGGCCCATGTTCTGAGGCGAGTGCAAACCCCCCCGTACTCGAGGACCCGTCTAGCAGGCGGCGGCGGGAGGCATGGGTAGCCCTGGGACAGATGCCGGCAGCAGAGGCTAAAAGGCAGCTGGCGGCGCTGCTCTCGCTGCTCATTCCCGACTGGCGCGATTGGGAGCCCAGCAGCATGGGTGAGGGAGGGGGGAATGGAAGGGAGGGGGCAGAAGGCTTGAGCAGAGAAACGGCGCAAGGACATGGTTCCGGGCAAGACGAACTGAGTTCTCGGGACGAAGGATATGCCCCGGCGCAAGGAGGAGGGTTGGCTGATCAACTGCTGAGGAGGTTTGCTGCCCGCACCAACGTACCACTTAGAGCAATAAGAGCCCGACTGTGAAGGGCTTATGGGAGTAACCGACTACCACATGAACTAAGTTTCAGGACGAAGATAGCCCATGCCTTCAGATTTGCACTGGATTTTTCACCGGCAACTTCAGTGGAATCATAGGAATCTCAACCTTTTCAGAGTTTTGTGGGGGGGGGGGGGGGGGGGGGGCTGTTACTCTAGTACATTGATGTGGCGCTGTCAACCTGCCTGAGAGTAACTGAGGCTACTCCACAAGTGTACAGGCCTGGCAACAGGCCCCCGTATAAGACGTATCTTTCAAAAATCGTGTTCAAGTCAGCGCCGGCTCACTGACAGGCCTTTGTTTCGTTGTGTTCTTGTTGTTCCTCCACATTTAGAGGCTCCTGTAAGCTGTGCTATATTCTATTCTACACAATCTACAACAGAGCTTAGGTACAACAAAGCAAGCATAAAGTGTACGTCCTAATGCTCGAAAAATGGTATGTGAGTCGAACTACAGTAACGACCACGAGAAATAGCCTGAGGTTTACAGGCTCCCCTACCGCCATCGCCCGGATAGAAGACAGTGTTGTATAGCAGACATGGGTTGTCTATTATCTGGGTGTCTCTTATAAACAGGCTAGCCTCATTATAAGACTCCTATTTGTGTGTGCGAGTTAAGCCAGTGTAGGGGTTAGGGGCAATTGTATAGTGAGGGGGTATCTTCTAAACGGTTCTTTGTCCATTTATAAGACTTATAAGACACCCTAAACCATCCCAAATACAAGATAACCCAAGCATTTTGAATAGTGTACAAGATAAAACATATATGGCTAATATCCGGGCGATGACGGTATTTTGAGCCCCAATTTCCTGTCAAACTATAATGCTATTTGTGTTGTGTAGGCTGTAGTGGGGTAGCCTATATGGGATACAACCCAATTAGGGTTATACTTGTACTCAGTTTGATGTCAATGCAATCATTCCTGCTCGTTAATTTCTGACATGGTTTTAGAGCAATAGGTCCGTAGGACCGTTTTTTTCAGGCCCACCATTACCTAGTCACCGACTGCGGTTACCGCGTTACCCCACGCCCTGCCCTGCGCTGCGCCTATAGCGCGCGCCCTGCCCTACCCTGTCTTGCGTCGCGCTGCCCCGCGCACGCCCTGCCCTGCCTTGCGTCGCGCTGCCCCGCGCACGCCCTGCCCTGCCCCGCGTCGCGCTGTCCCGCACGCGCCCTGCCCTGCCCCGCGTCCTGCTGCAGCTCGCGCCCTGCTGCCCTACGCGTCGCGCCCTGCTGCAGCCTGCACGTCGCGCCTTGCTGCCTTGCGCGTCGCGCCCTGCTGCCTTGCGCGTCGCGCCCTGCTGCCTTGCGCGTCGCGCCCTACGTCTGCCCCGCGCGTCGCGACCTGCTGCAGCCAGCGCGTCGCGCCCTGCTGCCCCGCACGTCGCGCCCTGCTACAGCCCGCGCGTCGCACCCTGCTGCAGCCCGCCGTCGCGCCCTGCTGCAGCCCACGCGTCGCGCCCTGCTGCAGCCCGCGCGTCGCGCTCTGCTGCCCCGCGCGTCACGCCCTCCTGCAGCCCGCGCGTCGCGCTCTCCTGCAGTCCGTGCGCCGCGCCCTGCTGCCCGCGCGTCGCGCCCTGCTGCCCTGCACAGCGCGCGCCCTGCTGCCCGCGCCGCCCAGGCCGAGTCGCGCCACCCAGCCTGAGCCGCCCTGCCCAACCCGATCCACCATGCTGCTGCTGCTGCTGCTGGTGGTGGTGGAGGTACTGCTAGGAGTGGTGGAGGTGCTGCAGCCTAGCCTCACCGAGCCGCTCTGCTGCTATTACTGCTGCTTCTGCTGCTCGTGCTACTGCCTTCCCTCCGTACTGCCCTACTGGTCGCACGCCTCCTTACTTGGCCCGTTATGACTTCTCTTCGTGGTAGCGGTCGGAGCGGTGACGGCGGTGGTGACAGCAGCTGGAGTGGTGGCGGCGCCCGTCGTGGCAGTCGCGGTGGAGCTGTTCGGTGTGGAGTTTTTGGCGGTGGCAAGATGCAGCTGATGCGGCATCCGCGCGAGACCCTTACGCCCCAGCAGCTTCGTGAGTGGTACGCTCAGAGTGGGGGGACTTGGAGTACTGTCCGCTGTCCGTACGTCATTCGCACAGGTGATCGGGCTGGTCAGACTTGCGGGACACTTGGTCATACACAGACTCACTGCTTCGCCTGTCTGAGCGACGCCTGGCGTGCAGTGTTTGGCGACGAGGCTGAGCTCCCCCGCTGGCTAGAGCTGCTTAGGAGCAAGGTGGATATCTTTGCTCTAGACTATGACACTATCCTCACTGCCATGTATGCTTTATCTATTAGTACTCAGGGTGACTGTTACTCGTGTGTGCCGCCCGACCCTTGTATAGCGGCTGCTGCTTTAGGTGCTGGTGAGTCTGCTCTAGGTGCTGGTGACTCTGCTCTAGGTGCTAGTGAGTCTGCTCTCTCTGGTACTGCACCTGGTGAGGCCTTGCACACCTTCACGCTTGACTCAGGTGCTTCCCATTGCTTCTTTCGCGACAGCACCACAGTCACACCGCTAGCAGCACCGGTTGCAGTCTCTCTGGCTGATCCCTCTGGGGGACCGGTTCTTGCACGTTCCTCCCCTGTTCTCCCGTGTCCGGCGGTTCCGTTTGGCTCACTGTCAGGTCTTCACCTCCCCTCGTTCTCTACGAACTTGGTGAGCAACGCCGTCCTTCAGAATGAATGGGTTAATACCTTTACTCCAAGGGGACAGCGTGTCGCGATCTGCACGTGTGTACGGACGGGCCGTCACCTGGCCACGTTCACCCGTCGGCCTGGTTCGAGCCTATACACACTGACTACTACGCCTCCTCAGGTAGCTGCGTCTGCGTCCGCGTCAGGTCAGCTAGCAGCCTCCTGCTCGTGTCGCGCCCTGTCGCACCAAACTCTCCTTTGGCACCACCGCCTTGGTCACCCCTCTCTGCCACTCCTCCGTGGCATGCACTCTCGCCTTCTTGTCTCTGGTCTTCCCAGGTCTCTGCCTCCCCTCCCATCCTCGCCTGCTCCTCCCTGCCTTCCCTGTATCAAGGGGCGGCAGCGCGCCGCTCCTCACTCCTCCTCGTTTCCCCTGACGACTTCTCCCCTGCAGACTCTCCACTTGGACGTGTGGGGCCCAGCCCGCGTCCAGGGACAGGGCCGCGAGCGATACTTTCTGCTGGTTGTTGACGACTACTCGCGTTACACCACGGTCTTCCCCTTGCGCAGCAAGGGTGAGGTCTCTGATGTCTTGATCCCTTGGATCCGCGCTATCCGTCTCCAGCTTCGCGAGCGGTTCGACACGGACCTTCCTGTCCTGCGTCTGCACTCTGACAGAGGTGGTGAGTTTTCCTCCGACCTCTTGCGGGACTTTTGTCGTGGGGAGGGCATTCGCCAGACGTTCACGCTTCCGGCCTCTCCGCAGCAGAATGGGGTTGCTGAGCGCCGCATTGGCCTAGTCATGGAGGTTGCTCGTACCTCCATGATCCATGCGGCTGCTCCCCATTTTCTGTGGCCGTTTGCGGTCCGGTACGCTGCGCATCAGCTCAACCTCTGGCCCCGTGTCTCCTTGCCGTAGACCTCGCCGTCACTGCGTTGGTCGGGAGAGGTTGGCGATGCGTCAGTGTTCCGGGTCTGGGGATCTCGTGCCTTTGTTTGCGATACCTCCGCGGACAAGCTCTCCGCCCGCGCCGTTCCCTGTGTCTTCCTTGGTTTCCTCCTGACGTGCCCCACCCCACCTGGCTTTGTTCGCTGGCAGTTTTACCACCCCACCTCGCGCCGTGTTCTGTCCTCCCAGGACGTCACGTTTGACCAGTCGGTTCCCTTTTACCGTCTCTTCCCCTACTGCACTGCCCCTACCCCTCCCCCGCCGCTCTTCCTTGCTCCAGGTCCCCCTCCAGTAGACCCCCTCCCCCCTCAGGGTCCTGCTCCTTCAGGTGTGTCTCAGGTAGACCCACTCCCCTTGGTTGAGCCTGTCGAGGTCACTGGTGACTCTGGTGCTGCTGGAGATGCTGAGCCTGCGGGTGCTGAGCCTGAGTGTGAGGAGCCTAGGGGTGCTGAGCCTGTGCGCGAGGAGCCTGGGGGTGCTGAGCCTTCGGTTGCGGAGCCTGAGCGTGAGAAGCCTGGAGGTGCTGAGCCTGCAAGTGCGGAGCCCGGGGGTGCTGCGTCTGAGCGTGCGGAGCCTGGGGGTGCTGAGCCTGAGCGTGCGGAGCCTGGGGGTGCTGATTCTGGGAGTGCTGAGCCTAGGGCTCCTGCGTCTACACTACAGGAGCCTCTCTCACCACAGCAGTTGCGCGAGTGGTACGCTCGGCGCTGTAGCCTTTGGCGTGGCGCTGCTGGAGCTTGAGGCCCTGGAGCTGCTGGTCCTGGAGGTGCTGGTGGTGCTGGCACTGCTGGTCCCGGGGGTCCTTGTGCTGGTGGCGCTGGAGCTGCCGGAGCTGGTGGTGCTGCTCGTGCTGGAGGTGCTAGAGGTAGTGGAGTTTCTGGAGCTGCTGGAGCTGGTGGTGGTGCTGCTGCTCGAGGTGCTGGAGCTGCTAGTCCCGGAGGTGCTCGTACTGGAGGTACTGGAGCTGCTGGAGCTGGTGGTGGTGATGCTGCTGGAGGTGGTGGAGCTGCTGGTTCCGGGGGTGCTCGTACTGGAGGTACTGGAGCTGCTGGAGCTGGTGGTGGTGGTGCTGCTACTGGAGGTGCTGGAGCTGCTGGTCCCGGGGGTGCTGGTACTGGAGGTACTGGAGCTGCCGGAGCTGGTGGTACTGTCGGTACTGGTGGTGCTGGTGGAGCTGGCACTGCTAGTCCTGGAGGTGCTCGTCTTAGAGGTTCTGGAGGTGCTCTCTCGCCGCAGCAGCTACGCGAGTGGTACACTCAGCACTGCCGCCTTCGGAGTGGCGCTGCTTGGGCTGGAGGTGCTGTGGCTGGAGGCACGGAAGCTGGAGGTACTGGCGCGGCCTGAGCTGGTGGTGCTGCATGCGGAGATAACTACTACAACAGGGGCTAGACTACGGGCTAGGCACGGGTGCTCGTGTGATCT